GAACATTGCAGTTTGAGAAGCTCCTAGACAACTTTGAGGAATGGAGAGTTATGATGCACCTTAGAATTTCACTCTCATATATGGGTTTTAAGATTTACTTTTGAAAATGTTGATTCATACTTATTTCAAAGTTTAACTGTTTGATGATGCAGCGTTCAACTACTCAGTGTTCTTACCTACAAGACAGACCATCAACTTTGGGTCCTGGTAAAGTTTACTGAAGTCTCTGATTTGGCTGCTTGTTCAGATAGAGGGCACCCCTGTCCCACACCAACATGGTAACAAAGGTGAAAAAAAATTTTTTTCCTCTTAAGAAGGTTTTGAATTTTCTCAAATACTAGGAGCAAGTGTTTGGTTTTAGGTCTCAGAGTTCTTGCCACATGAAGTATAAAGAGACAATCTTGGACTGAAAACTTCCTAGGGCAGTTGTTACCACTAGCAACCTTAATCACAGAGAAGAGCCTTCTAAACACCTGGCTTAGGGTAGAACTGAATGCTGAGAGTCCTACCAATCTGGGTTAATGCAAAACATATAGCCCTACCTTGCCAGGCAGCTGGCCTGTGGGTTAGAGTTCTTTGGTATTGTTCACTTAAACAATGAAGAATGTCTGCCAAGCACAGCAATTTTAGATTTAGCAACATTATAAGCACTTTTTTTTCCTTTGGCTATAATCATCCAACAAGTTCAGCCACTTCTTAATACAGTCTTCACTTACAATAATAAAATCACATCATAGAATAGCAGTTCTCAACCTTGGCTTTACATTTGAATCCTTAGGAAGCTTTAAAATATGCTGTTTCCTGGGTTCCCCAAGAGATGCTGACTTAATTTGTCTGGGGTAAGGCCTGGGTTTCAGTGTGTATAGGGCTCCCCAGGTAATTCCAACATGCAGACAGGTTTGAGAGCCAGTGTCTTAGAGGAAGGGTCTTATCTTCTGACTTACGAGTGTTTGGATATCCAATAAATCCAGTTGCTGTTATCACATTATTTACATATGTTAAAAATAAGAGTGACTCATTCACTGGTTGTGTACCATTCAAAGAATCACTTAAATTCCATAAACTTCAGTTTCCTCTTCTCTAAAATAGGGATAATTATTTCCTCTTCTCTAAAATAGAGATAATTGTTACATTGGGGGTAGTTTTGGAGATTGAAATAAACTATATAAGGTGACTAGAACAGTGCCTAGCATAAAATAAGCACTCAACAAAATGACAGTTGTTACAAAGAACTGTGGGCATGACCTTATTTTGTATATTCAGAAATGGAACGTGGTGTCCTCTGCATCTGGTGGTGGTATTATGATAAACGCTTTGGCAAAGGAGTTTTCTACTGAGGTTATGCTGTTGGGTCCACAGATGACACCTGAAATAAGATCAGGGAATACTCCAAAGAAGTCCTTCAGTGTTTTTATCTGTCTTAAGAGGAAACAAAATGGAACAGTGATTGCCAAAGCAGATTAGTCATGCATAATACCCACTTAGTCCTCATGGGAGAAAAAAAAAAACCCAGCCCAGAAATCTGTTGAGAAGAAAACTGTCATAAAGTATCAAAGGACATCCAAGGAGAAAGTAATGTGTCCCAAATTTGAGAATTAGGTTGTTTCCCTTTTTAAAAAAGGTTTTGATGCCATGAGCCTATAAAAGCCCATAAAGCAAAGTGAAATAAATGTATGATGAGTAATATACTTCACAGAAAACTAGTTAAAAATCTCTTGGATTATATTTTTTTCATTTAATTTTGGGCTATTAATCAGATATCTTAAAATAAATGTCTTTTCTATTTTTCCTTTTTAAAATCTCTTTTTATGCGAACGTACGATGAAAATGTATGCATACATAAATATCTATATCACACATTTGAATATAAAGCAGGATTTTGGAAATAGAGCAATGGGACTTTAGAACCAAAGGATTTCTGCTAGCGTGAACTGTGGAATATCCAAAATGCAACAATAACATCAAAAAAGAGTATAAATTAAGCCAGGCATGGTTGTTCACGCCTATAATCCTGGCTCTTTTGGAGGCCAAGGCAGGAGGATTGCTTGAGGTCAGGAGTTCAAGACCAGCCTGGGAAAAACTGAGACCCCATCTCTACAAAACAAATAGAAAAATTAGCTGGGCATGGTTGCGTGCACCTGTAGTCTCAGCTACTTGGGAGGCTGGGACAGGAGGATCTCTTGAGCCCAGGAGCTTGAGGTTGCTGTGAGCTGTGATGATGCCACTACACTCTAGCCTGAGCAACAGAATAAGACCCTGTCTCAAAAAAAATAGTATAAATTCAATTGAAATCACTCCCTTGTTTCTCAATCAAAATGCTGACTTTACACTCTTCTTGTAGAAGTCACACTAGGGGTACCCATGTTCCCAAATTTGCATTTTTTTAATTTGGCCACTTTGGCTGAGCCAAAAAGTTTCCATTAAAATAGACTCTAAAGTGTAGAATTTTTTTCTAAATAATTAAACTGCTTATAGATTAATTTGAATATATGTGTGACAATAACTGAGCTCTGGCCTAATTCTAAACTCTTCCATTCTGTTTCCTGAGTGGTCTTTAGAAAATAGAAATCTGGTTATGTTATTTCACCATTCAAAAAATCTTTAGCCATTTCAAATCAGTGTCCTTATCTCAGCATTCAAGACCCCCAAAAGTATGTCCCCATACTACTCTGTGGTTCTAACTTATCCTAAATGTTCTGTGGTGCCTATCCCTTCATCTTTGTCCACTCTGTCTCTTCTGAGAATACCCTTTCTACTCATGTCTGCCTTTGAAAACCTTACCCATTCTTTATGCCTCAGCTCAAATGCTACCTCCTTCATAGGACATCCTCAGTCCCCATCCCAACCCCACTTTCATCCTAATTTTACTTCCCCACTTGGTGTTTCATACGGCTTCATATTATTGCTGCAGCATTAATTACACTTTTACTTGTCTTTGCAAATGTTTGGGAAGCAGTAATGAATAATATGTAAGGGAAAAGAATATAGACTTTTGATCCAGACTAGACTTGAGTAAAAACCCTGGCTCTTGGGCAAGTCAATTAATTTTTCTGAATTTTAGTGTCTTCATCTGTAAACTGAAGAAAATATTACCAAATTTGCATGGATTGGTAGAGGTGAGAATATGCAGGGGAAGGCCCCCAATGAGGGGTAACTATTATAACCAAAATTATTCTAATCATCTTTCCCACTAGTTCATTAACTTTTGTATGTATCTTGCAGTGTCTTACCCTCCATAGTGTTTTCTGCACTGAATGGAAGCAGTCCAAATTGACAGCATCTGCCGCTTGGATCTTACTGAGCTATTAGTTTTTGAACATCTGTTTTGGATTTCAGAAAGAAAATTCCGTTTTTAGACAACAGCAGCATTTTACTGTGGCATTTCAATATGTCTCAATCCTGAAATGATTATAACTTCTGCTTGATTTAATCCAAGTCAGCAAAGCCATGGAGAACAGCCCAGCCCATGAGTACATCTACTTTACCGAGGCCTGAGAGAGCTTAACCCTCTGTACAAAGAGCCTGAACAACAAGGAACACTGTGTGAGCTTTTAATGACATTGTCCTTTGCTCAGATGTTTAAATAGCAGCAATAATGGAGCTTGGGAAGCACTTAATTATCCACAATCCTGAGAGACAGGGAGAGCACAGGTCATAGAAACCCTGGTTTGCTTTGATGTCTACAGTACTGATAACCACACAGGGTGCACTCATGATATGTTTCTAATGACAATTATTTAGCCCCTTTTCTTGACTCCCAATTTCCTTATAAAACTCCAAAAGGAAGCAGCCAATATGGTCTCCACTGGTTTCTGTATTATTTCCTATGGAAAGTAGAATTTTCTAAACCACCATGCTTCATGAATCCTCTGAGTCTTTCTTTATCCTCTTCCAATATAAATGTAACTTATTGGGAACATTGAGAAAATCATGAGGGGTGGGGAGGGCTTAGCTTCCAGAAGAAAAAGTATCGGCTGCTAAAAATATGTTAGAAATACCATAGGAACATAAAATCAACCATGCTAATTATGAAACATAATTGAGGTCATGTTTTAGGTGTCAGAGAGAATAGCTCAATTTCCCCTATTGAGATAGAAAATAAAAATCAAGAAAAGGGGGGCAGAGTAGTCAGGATCCCAGAATTAAAAGAAACCACCTTGCCCTGTTGTACAATAATGTTTCAGCACCAAGGACAGAGCCTTGTAGGGCTTAATGCCCGCCCATCCTATATAATTAACAATTTTTTAATGTTTTAAAATTTCCATTTAGATGTTTATACATCCATCTATATATTGTTTTTCTGAGTTCTGGTTACATGTCAAACCTTGGTGTGATATACAAAGACTCACCACCTAATTACAGCTCTCAAGGTAAAACTAGTGCAGGAGATGAGCAAGATAGATAAGTAACACTATAGGACAAGAGCTACTACAGAGTCATGTACAAGCCACATGGGAGCCAGAGCAGGGAATGCTTAACCTTGACTGGTACAAAGAAAGACTTTACAAAGGAGTTGACATTTGAGCTGGATATTGAAGACTGAGTGAAGTTTGCAAGACAGAAAAGAATTGCCATGAAAGAACACACAATGTATTCAGGAATGTCTAGAGATATGATGTGATATGGCTGAAATGCGGAGTGAATGGGGAAATAAGGAATAGGCTAGGTCCAATCACCAAGGGCTTGTATCCCATGTAAGGGGATTAGGCTTTGTTCTAGGAAAACGGAATGCCATCAAATGGTTTTGAGCAAGTATGTGATCTGATCAGATTTGTATTTTAGAAAGACAGTTCAGATAGCAGGAGAAAGAACAGACTTAAAAAAAAGAAGAAGAAGAAGAAGTGAGCGGGCAGAAGGGCAGATAAAGGTGACATTTTTCCAGATGGTCCTGGGAGTGAGGGACTGCTCCATCATAATCACAGTTAGACAGGGAGAATTTATTTGGCCCATCTCCCATTAGCTGTTCACCAGTGTTTCACATGTGAATTGTGTCTTTCCAGACTCCTCAAAGAAGATAAAGGATGTCTTGACTGAATTTAATGAGGGTGGTAGCCTCAAACAATATGATCCACATGAGGTAAGAACATTTCCATTTCAAACTTTTAAGAAAAAACCCTGTGTTCCAGCCTTCCCAAATATGTTTTCCTCTTGGAGATTTAGCTTGCCTAGAAGAACTTGCTCCTTAACATGTTTTTCCTAAGTCTCAAGTGATCCATTAGTGTTACCTGGCATTATACATTTCCCAAGTCCACTCGCCCCTCCCACCGTCCTAGAGGACTACTACTTCTCTGATTATAGTTCGCACTCCTCCTCCCCTCCTCATTCTCAATTAACAATTGTGTGTTCTACTTTTTTTGTTTTGTTTTGTTTGCTTTTTTTTTTTTTCTGGTCAAGTGTGTATTTTCTACTTCACTGAGAAAATAGAAACAATCAGAAAAGATCTTCTACAAGCTCCCTCACTCCATGTGCCCACCTGCCTGTACTTTTTCTTCTGTAACTAAGGATGAACTCTCCATGCTCTTGTCTGGTCCAACTCCTTCACTTGTGCATCCTCTTTTGGCTTATTGATAGGCATTGCTTCAGCAACACAACTCCCTCTGCCTCTCTCTTTCCCTCCCTCCTCCTCCCTCTTTCTCTCTCTATCTCTTTCACATAAGCTCTCCTTTATATATTAGATTTTTCCCATCAACATATAAACATACTGTTATTTCTCCTATATTAAAAAATGTTCTCCTGACTCCACATCCCCTTCCAGCTACCACCTCATTTCTCTCCTGTCCTTTATAGCAAAGCTGTGCAAAAGACTCGGTGCCTCCAAGTTCTCTTCTTCATACTCTCTTGAAAACCCTTCAATCAGTGTGTAACTCCCACTCCTCCACTAAAACCACTAGTCAAGACAGCCAAGCACCTTCATGTGGCTGAACCTGATAGCCATTTTGCTCAACGCCATTGGGGATGTGGTTGGTCAAATCCTTCTTCGTTTTCTTCACTTGGTTTCAAGACACTAAACTCTCCTGGTTTTCCTCTTTCCCCTCTACTTTGCATTTCCACTTAAAAATCAAATAGGCATCTCAAGCTTTGCATGAGTTAAACTGATGTCCTTGATCTTCCCCTGTAAAACCTATTTTTCCAGCAGTCTTCCCCATTTCAGTAAATGACAACTCTTCAAGTCATTCAACCAAAAATTATGGAGTCATCATTGACTTTTCCCTTTCTCTCATAACCTATATCCAATTCATCGCCAAATTCTATCACTTCTACCTTCAAAATATATCCAAAATCTAGCCACATCTCACCACCTGCACTGTTACCATCCTGGCCTGAGTCATCACCATATTTTGCCCAGATTATTTCAAGAGTTTCCTAACTGAGCTCCTTGCTTCTGCCCTTGCCCTTTAAGTCTATTCCTCACACATATCCTGAGCAATCTGTTAAAACTTATGTTAGAGCTTGTCACTACCCCACTTGACAGTCTCCTGTGGTTCCCCCCACCCCCTACTCAGAGTGAAAGTCAAGGTCATTATAATCTGCACCTCCCCTGCTTTCTGATGTCATCTCTTGCTGCTCTACCCTCCTCATTCCTTTCCAGTCATATTAGCCTTCTTGATGCTGTCAAAGAAGCCAATGTCACTGTAACTTCAACACCATTGCACCTGCTGTTGCCTCTTCTTGGAATGTTCCTCCCCAGCATACCCACATTGTTCATTCTCTCACCTCCTTCAAGTCTGTGTTCAAATCACCTTCTCAGTGATTGTCACCTTCTTTATCAAACCTTGAAGCCCTTTTCCCTATCCCCTGACACTTGCTATCCCCCACTCTCTTTATTTCCTCCTTAGCACTTCTCACCAGCTCTCACACTATATAATTTACTTAATTAATTGTCTGGCTCTCCTACTAGAATATTTTTGTTCACTGTTGTGTCTCCAATGCTGAGAAGAGTATCTGACTTATTGCAGACATTCTATAAATATTTGCTAAATAAATAAATGGATGCAAGACCTCCCCCACTTTCAAATTCAACTTATCTAACATTGCTTGGGCATCTAGGCACTGTTCTGGGCACTGTAGAAGGTATAAAGATGAAGAAACACAGGACATACTTCCTACTGGCAGGGTCAAGTTCATGACCTTGGAGTCACATGGTCTGTCATCACCCAGCAATGGGGCCTTGAATAATATTTCACCTCTTTGACCCTCACTTTCCTCATCTGTGAACTGAAGATAACAAAAAAATAAAAACCTTGAAGTTTGTGGGAGAACTTTTGCAAAGTGTCTAACACTCTACAGGGTACTTTAAAAATGGTGCCCATTATTACTCCTCTTCTGTTCCTTTTCCCCAGAATGTGTTATACTCAACTCCCTTTTCCATGCTCTGGGGTCCTTTTATGAGGGCTAATTGCAGAAAAGTGACTGACCAGCAGGACTAATGTAAGGAGAGGCTGGCCACTTACTTATGCACATTGTCATCATCCATTCAACAAACCTCAGTCAATGCCTTCTCTGCTGGATACTGTAAATGAATCAACAGAGCTTGTGCCGTCAAGGTATACCTGAGAGGGGCTTTGGATAAAATGCACCAATCACTGAGAGAATGAAGGCGGAGGGAGTTTGTTGGAATAGGGGTAGGTTGAGAATGCACTGTTTCAAAGAACATTCCTGAGGAGAAGGCATGCAGAGAAGATGGCAGAGCCAGCAAAGAACTCACTGCCCCACACCTGCCACCTCCAGCTCCAAAAACATGGGAACAAAAACCTGGCGGGGGGCTGCTAATCGGCCTGTCTGCCCTGGGGCTGATGAGTGGGAGGGGAACAATTTGGTGAGGGCCACTGCTGGTGTGACAGCCACAGCAGCTTTCAGAAGCAGGGAGCAACTCAGATGTTAGAAGCATGCAGCCGCCCTCGCCTCTGTAAGGGCTGGCCCCCACTTTTTGTGCGCCTAACACTGCTGTGTCCCAGGGGAGCTCTGTCACTCTGATTCTGTTCTCTCACACAGTGCAGCTGACTTCTAGTAGATGTAATGTCATGGTATAGGGATGGGGAAACAGGGTTTAATTTCTCTTGAGCTTGATGGCTTACTGCTGCTAAAATGTCTCAACGAGAAACAAGTTCGCTGTGGGAAAAGGCAGATTGCTAGAAAAGCTAGGATGGAAATAAAAGTTTACAGAGTAGGGTGACTGCATCTGGTCATGGCAAACATGCTCTTCCCCGACACCACCAAGAGATTCTCTGGAGAAAAGAGCAGTGGGAGGCAGCCCAAGCAAAACCCAGCAGAGCAGAAGACACAGGTGGCTTGGCGATGCTGTGAGCCTGGACTCAGATACACCTGAGCACAGATCCCAGCTCTGGCACATGCTTTATGACCTTGAGCAAGTGATTTATGTCATCAGAATTTGTTTTTCCCAGAAATGACCATAACAGTCCCCCTTCACACTGCCGTCTTGAGCATTAAAGTTCCTGACGCATGGTACAATCTCCACCTGGTTCTCCTCCCTTCTTGACCTGTGTGAGAATTGACACACTCTCTTTAAGCAGGTTGCAGCAGCAACAATTGCCCAGCTAATTCGTGCATGAAAGCTGCTGGGGGACAACAGGGTTCCTTTGGCCTGGACGACAAGGCTGCCTGTGATGTTACTCTAGGGCTCAGAGAATCGCCAACGTGCCTCCTGGTGGTTTGGATGTGATGCCCAGCCACTCCCTACCCAGTCACCCATCACGCATTTACTAAGCAGCTACTCTGGTCCTGGCCCGTGCTCGTAAAGAACTTCCTGTAACCCAGATGTCACACAGAGTCACATTTGTTGAACTTGGGCTTGGAAGGAGTGGCAGGGAGCACTGCACTGGCTCTGGAACCTAGGACAGATATAGTAGCAGGAGTACTGGATTAGGGGTCAGAAGGTCTGACTTCTGGTTTTACTCTGCTGCTACCTCGCTGGGCTAAATCACTGAATCTCCTGAGCCTCGATGGCATAAGGAGACTCGATCCCCTCTGAGGATCTTCTGATTTGAATGCTGTAGTTTCTGGGTTTATTCTATGCCATCCTTTTCTCCAGCATAGGGACACGCATAGTTGGGCATGAATGTCATCGTCATTACTTTCTAAATTGTCATAACGGTTTGTCAATTCTTTTCCTATGGCACTCCTGTTAATGACTACATATTATGATTATTAATATTTCAATACCTTTACCTCTTGAGTCTCTTGAAGGAATGGACCCATGTCTAATTCATTGGTGTGTTCTCCATCCGTGCCCACACTCTGCCTTGTACTTAGGAGGCTCAGTGTATATATATATATATATATATTTTGTTTGTTTGTTTGTTTGTTTTGTTTTTTTTTTAACTAAACAGACCCCATAATAATCAATGACAGCCAGGGGCCAACCACCAGGCCATTCCTGAGGTGTTCCAGTTAGGAACCCATCATCCATTCAAATACCTACCAAGAAACACTGTTGTAGGTGGTATAGGGGATACAAAGATGAAATAAGACATTCTCACTACCTTCTAGGAACAGCGGATCTAGTAGAGGAACTAAGGTATTAATACAAAGCAGCAGATGCTAGTATCACAAAATAGGAGCCAAGATGCAAAGTATAGAAATTCAGGTACGAGAGATCTCTATCAGGCTTCCTGAAAGAGGTGGCATCTGTGTTGGGCCTTAAAGCATGGCTGGAAATGTTAACAGGTCGAGAAGGAAGCAGTTCATGCAGAGTGAAGTACATGGAGGTTCTGTTATGAAAGAACACGGATTAGCGTGAACAGAGTATGTAGGTGCACATAGGGAATAATAGGAGAAAATACCAGAATTGTCTTAGAGCTTGAAGTAGCCACAAATCTAGGTTGGAGGGTAACTAGAGAGGTTGTGAATCCAAAGGTCTCAGAGAGGATGGTCCATTGGACTGTAGGAACACCACATATTAGACCTTCTATTTACATTCTTTTTTTTCTCATCTAATTTCCATTTGCTAATTTTTTTCATACATTTTATAATGTATATATAGTATAGGAGCACAGTAGTACATCAACTGATCTCAGCTGTCCCATGGCAATTAGAAGCCATGGAAAGTTTTGAATAGGGAACCAACCTTATTAGAGTTTTGGGAAGATCATGGCAAAGATAAGTTGGGTGAGAGGACCAACAGATGGAGTGAGGGGGGGGCAGGGACAGGGAAGCCTGGGAGAAGTATTGCAATGGTCCAGGTGAGCTGCAAAACACAGAAATCTGGAACCAGGAACTTGGGAGGTGGCGGCAGGGGCAATGGACATAGAAAAGGTCCAGATATGACGGAGGTCACAGAGGAAGGGACAAGAACTGGTATCAGATGACTGAGAGTTTTAAGCTGAATCTAGCATGGTGGGAATATAATGGTGTCATTGGTATTAACAGAAATTGTAGAGTCAGGAAGAGGAGCTGGTTTAAGGAGAAGGTTAATAGAAGTTTAGAACTTGAGATCTTCTAGTCCAGCACTCACAATTTACTAAAGAAGAAAGCGAGGTTCAAAAAGGGGGGAAATGTGGTCGATCTGAAACCAGCCCATGTGGTCTCCCAGGTCTTGTACTCATCTTGTTTGATAATCTTTTGGCTTTGGTTTTTTATAGCATTATGTTAGTTTGTTTAACTAAACTTTCTTTTTATTGCATCAGTCTGCTTTTCAGAAATATTTTATTCCCATAATTTTCATATGATGCTAACCAAAGGAAATTTTGGAACTCAAAACTACACTTTAAAACAGTACTTGTCAATTAAAATGGTGCAAACAGACAATGCAAAAAGAGCTTTTTGAAATAAATTAATGAATAACAATGCCATTAGCAAATATTCAGTCAAATCAAAGTAGAGAATGAAAAGAACCAAAATAGAACAACTCCATGGAAAATAGAGTTTCAGAAAGAAGAGAGGATGAAATGCTGCAGAGAAGACACAAATGAGAAAGTCTCAAAATAGATGATTAAATTTGTGAACTTCAAAAGAGCAGGTTCAAAGGTAATGGGCTAGAATCCAAACTGAGTGGGATTGAGGAGGGGAGGAGGCTAATCTGGTCTGTTAGGAGAAATGTGGAGAAATGAGAGATGGGCTAGCAACTCTAGCAGGCAGCAGCTGCTTTGGGGTAGTGGCGGTGGAGCATGCCTGCAGGTAGAAGAGGGGCAAATGCTGGCAGGTGTGCTCAGAGCCAGTGAGGGTGGTATCAAGAGTCACAGGAGGTGGGTTGCATTTGGAAAGGAGGAGGAAAAGATTTTGTTCTTGTGTACCAGGAAAATGAAGAAGGATTTGTGAGGAAGGGACATTCTGAGGTGATGATGCTGTGCAGACAGAGAGGGACAGAAAGAGTGTGAAACAGACACAGAAACTCAGGGACAGAAAGGGACGGAGAGAGACGGATAGCTGTCGTAGGAAATGTGAGTTATTTTTGCAGAGTTCCTTTAATCGGGTAATGGCCTCTGTCCAACTGAATCAGGCTTCCTCCACCCTGCAAAGGGTATGTATAGTACAGCCCAGCCAGCGGCTAAACAGAAATTGCTTTGTGAGTTCCCAGTGGGGTGGGGAGGGCATCACTTGCTTTTAGGGCCAAGACTTTGAACCCAAACTTGATTATACACATGCAAGCCAGCTTCTGGTTCTGGGAAGGCTCCCAGATCTCCCAGAACAGACAAAAGGTTAAATGCTACCAACATTTTGATGGGAGCACCAAGCAGGGCCCCCCACCAAAAGAGATTTTATTCTCACAGCTATTATTATTCACAAAAGCCTGCACAGCAGATCTCAGAGTAGTGCTTCCTCAAATGATTTCCAGGAGCATCTGCCGATTTGATGAAGAATCTGATGCCATCAAAGCACATGCCAGTGATGACTCACTGCGAACTGTTGTTGTTGAGTGTTTGCTGAGTGCAGCAGCCCTTCCTGGCAGGGTTGCTCCCAGCCTGGGACCAGAAGCCAGGCGGTACTGGGAGAGACGCAGCAGGAAGAAGGTCTAGTTTTTGGCATGTCTCTTGGTTCCACCTTCTGTCCTTGGCTTCCTGCTCTTCTCCTGATGCGTAAAACCTTCACAAGGACATATTTGGGGGAGCAGCTGAGCCAGACGCATGCATTCCCCTGTTATCTTGGGGTTTGTCCAGGGAAATCAGGATTATGAAAGTAATGAAGGATGGAGCCTGTTCTTTTCTCTTCTTGCCTTTCCTATTTTCTGAGACCTTAATACTCAGGAATCGTGTCTCTCATGGCACAAAGGAAAACCAAGATACCACAGAAGAACCATTTCTTTCCATCATGTTTTCGACTGCATCCTTCTTCATCTTACCCAGGATTCCAGGGCATTGACCTCGTCCCTGCTCACTGCAGCCACATCGCTCACATGGACCTGGACTAGGGCAGAGCCCTCCACTCCCAGCTGTCACTCTCCCTCGCCTCCCTTGTCATCTAAACTCAGACCATATTTATTACAAAGTCCTGCCCTGGTCCTGTGCCCCACCAAGCTCCAACATGCACCCACCAGCATTTTCCCA